GATCCACACAGTCAAACGCTTTGGCATAGTCAATAAAGCAGAAATAGATGTTTTTCTGGAACTTTCTTGCTTTTTCGATGATCCAGCGCATGTTGGCAATTTGATCTCTGGTTCCTCTGCCTTTTCTAAAACCAGCTTGAACATCTAGAAGTTCACAGTTCACATATTGCTGAAGCCTGGCTTGGAGAATTTTGAGCATTACTTTACTAGCATGCGAGATGAGTGCAATTGTGCAGTAGTTTGAGCATTCTTTGACACTGCCTTTAACAGTAATAGGAAACCTAATTCAGTTTTTCTTTTTCTCCTTTTTTAACTAATAGGCAAAATATTCACATAAATCAAAAATCAAAAAAGAAGTTACTAACTTTTTGAAAATACTCTATCCCACTCCTATGACCTAACTAGCCAGTTTTCACCCTCCCCCATGATCATAAGAATTAATGGTTACTAGTTTCATGTATACCCTTTCTAGAGTTTCTTTATGCATATACTAACACATGTAAATATGCCTTTTTACCACCTTTTAAAAATAGACTGTATTCTATCATACCTGTTGTCTGCACCCTGTCTTTTCACTTAAAAGTACATCCTGGAGATGTTGCTATTTCAGTATATAAAGTACTTTATCATTCTTTGTAATAGTTACTGTAGTATGACATAGCATAGATATACTATAAACTCTACCAACAGACATTTCAATTGCTTCCAGTATTTTGCTGTTATAAACAATACAATTTTTAGTTATAAAAATAGTATTATTGTTATAAACAATACTACAACTGAAAAGCTATGCATATGTCATTTTACATGTATGCAGGTATGATAAATTCCCAGAAGAGGAACTCTGACCTAAAGGTATGTGCACATGAAATATGCTCAAACTGTCCTTCACATGGATTGTACCAATCCATACTCCCATCAACAAAGTATGAGAATACCTGTTTTTCCATACCTTACCACGAGAGTGTATTATCACTTGGATTTTCACCAATCTGGTAGGTAAAGTATCTCAGTGAAGTTTTAATTGGCAGTTTTTAAATTATGACTGTGGTATAGTATCCTTCAGACAACTTAAGAGCCATTTGTATTTGCTCTTCTCTAAAATATCCTCATTCTTTTTCCCATTTTTCAACTGGGAGGATGACCTTTTTCTCTTTGACTTCAGAAGCTCATGAAATATTAAAAGACTAGGTCTTTTTCTATTAAAAATTACAAATATTTTCCCCTATGAAAACTGTTTTCCTTTTTGCTTTGCTTTTGTTTGTTGGGATATTTTTGTTTTTATTTATTGCGTGCAATTTTTATTGTCAAATCTATAATTTTTATAGCTTGGGGATTTTGAGTTATGGTTAGAAAGGCTCTCCATTTCAAAGCTATAAAGGAATTTTCCTATGTTTTCTAATAGTACATTTCTTATATTAAATATTAGAGTCATTTGAAATTTATCCTGGTGTCTGGTATTCTACCTAGCTGTATACTCTATAATATGCAACCTTAAATTATCCCAACTCCAAAGTGAAACAAAACTTTTACTGTTCTTATGTTGCATATACTGGTGTATTACTTCCTCTTATTTCCATTCTAGTCAATTTCTACAATCTGTGGTCTATCCATTTAAATGGCAATAGGGGGGGAAAGCTGTTTCCTTGTCCTTGTGGTTTGGGTTTGGTGTTGGGGGTTGCAGGTGGGTGATGCTTAGTGTCTCTCTGGAAACAAAGCTCTTCCAGTTTATGCTTTCAGATATTCTTCTGATTAGGAGGAGTTAGAGCCCATGACCTGTCATATAAAAGACTGAGGAACTGAAGACATAAACTGCAACATTTTAAAACTCTCCCAATACTGTACCCATATCTATGTTTCTACCAATGTATTTCTAAAGATTTCACCTTCATTAGAGAACAGGCTAAACTCTTTTCAAGATCACATACCATGCTAGAGCATAAGCTAAGTATGACTTTTGTGTGAAGGTCCACTTATAGTTTATTTATTTTCTCCAAATGACTATCTACTTACACCAACATCTCTAATTACTAAGCATAAAAATCAGTAAGAATGTAGAATCTCCATTGCATGTACAAGGGAATTCCCGTAAAACTATCAGCTGCCTTTTTCACAGAAATTCTGCAGACCAGAAGGGAGTGGCACCATATAGTCAAAGTGATGAAAGAAAAAAAAACCTATAAGCAAGAATACTCTACTCAGCAAGGATATCATTCAGATTTGAAGGAGAGATATAAAATTTTACAGACAAGCAAAAGCTAAAAGAGTTTAGAACCAGTAGACCAGCTTTATAAAAAATGTTAAGGAAGCTTCTCTAAGTGGAAAAGAGACCACCACTAGAAATATGAAAATTATGAAAGGAAGAATCTCACTGGTAAAGGCAAATATACAGTAGAGGTAGTAAATCATCCACTCATAAAGCTAACAGAAGGTTCAAAGACAAAAGGAGTAAAATCACCTATATCCATAATAAGTATCCAAGGAACACACAAAACAAAAAGATATAAAATATGAAATCAGAAACAGTAAATATGGGTGGTGGGAAGCAAAAGTGCATCGTTGTTACAAACTGTTAGAACTTAAAACATCATCAACTTAAAATAATCACATATCAGTATGATAATCAGATTGTTGACTTCCCTGGTGGCTCAGGCAGTAAAAGTGTCTGCTTGCAATGCAGGAGACTGGGGTTCTATCCCTGGGTCGGGAAGATCCTCTGGAGAAGGAAATGGCAACCCACTCCAGTACTCTTGCCTGGAAAATTCCATGCATGGAGGAGCCTGGTGGGCTACAGTCTATGGGGTCACAAAGAGTCAGACACAACTGAGTGACTATACTTTCAGATGGTAATAATAAAACAAATATCTGTAACAGTACACAAAAGAAGGGAAAGAAACCCAAACATAACACTAAAGACAGTCATCAAATCACAAAGGAAGAGTGCAAAAGAAGAAGAAAACAAAGAACTGCAAAACAGTTAACAAAATCACAATAAGACATATCTAACAATAATTACTTTCAATGTAAATCGACTGAAAGCTCCAGTCAAAAGACACAGAGTAGCTGAATGGACACAAAAACAAGACACGAATATGCCACCTACCAAGACTCACTTCAGGGCTAAAGACATAGACTGCAAGAGAAAGTGTGGGGAAAAGTATTACATGCAAGTGGAAATCACAAGAAAGCTGGGGTAGTAATACTTATATCAGGCAAGACAGACTTTAAAACAAAAACTGTAACAAGAGACAAAAAAGGACTTACACAATAAGGGGATCAATCGAAGAAGATATGACAATTATAAATATATAAAAACACAACATAGGAGCACCTAAATGCATAAAGCAAATATTAACAGACATAAAGAGAGAAACTGACATAGTAGGAGACCTTAACACCCCACTTAGATCAGGGGAGAGAGAGAAAATCAGTAAGAAAACACTGGTCTTAAATGACACTGAACTATATGGACTTAATAGATTATATATTGACCATTCCATCCAAAAGCAGCAAGATACACATTCTTTTCAACTGCACAGGAGAACAGTCTCCAGGATAGATCACATAACAAGCCACAAAACAAGTCTCAATGAATTTGAGAATATTGAAATCATATCAAGCATCTTTTCTGATCACAATGGCATAAGACTATAAATCAATTACAAGAATGCATAAAAAGCAAAAATAATACGCTACTAGACAATCAATGGGTCACTGACAAAATCAAAGAGGAAATTAAAAAACACCTGAAGACAAATAAATATGAAAACACAATGACACTAAATCTATGGGACACAGCAAAAGCTGTTCTATGAGGGAAGTTTAGAGCAATACAGACTTATCTTAGCAAACAAGAAAGATCTCAAATAAACAATCTAACAGTAACAATCATGTTGGATATAGCAAGAAAATCTATCTTAAGTTTGTCTGGAGTACAGAAGGAAAAGAGACAGAAATACGGTAAAGAAAATGTTAGAAAAGATAATGGCTGAGAATTGTGCAGAACTCAAGGAAGCTAATAATTCATAGAATCAAGACAGCAAGCAAATCCCAAGTGAAAGAAATAAGAATAAATTCTTGATATGGATATATCATAAACTGTAGAAACCCAAATATAAGGAGAAAAATCATAAGAGCAACCAGAGGGAAAAGAAAAACCCTTTTAAAGAACAACAGCAAGACTGACATCTAACTACTCAATAATGACAATGGAAACAAAAAGATGAGAGAATATAACATACAGAGAGAAAATAACTATTTACCTAGAATTCTACTACCACTAAAATCTTTCTCAGGAAAGATGACTATTAAAATAGTTCAAATTCAAAACCTAACTGTTAACAAAATAGTACATTATCCTCTTAATATCTGTCTTTAATTCTACTCCTTACCTTTAATATATATATCTTGCTTTGAACAGAATTAAATCTCTTAAGATAATGAAAGAAAAGGTCATGTGAAATTAGATATATGGATAATCATAGAATTCTCGGGGCTCATTTAGATTCTACTTTCTTTAACCATAAAATAGGTTTTAAACATGATTTTTTAAGTTTTAGTTCTGAGTGATTCTGTACCTAGCTAACCACATGGCTACTGCACTATTGCAGTAAAAATTTCATCTCATTAAATCAATAGTACAAGTTACTTAAAAAGTAAGTGCTCTATCAGAGTTGCAAGTGATAGGCTGTATTTATATAGTCAGTTTTAAAATATAGAGGAGAAAAGATTCACAAGACATAGAAGTGAGTCTTTTTCTTTCTCATAAAAATGTGATATTAGAAAAAGCAACTTAATTAGGTAAATTAAAACATTCTATTAATGAACCTGGAAAATTCTGACAGTACAATGACTCATGCAAGCATTGCTAGTGAGAAGCAAGTAACCTTTGTCCTACATGCAAACAGAGAAACTTTGTACCTTTCACTAACCAGATACAGAAAGCAGCTTCTGTCTGAATCAGAGAATAACAGTATTAAAGATCAAAAGTATATGCTCACCTTGTAAAAACTCCTCCTTGCAAGCAATGAAGAAGAAGAAAACAATGATGACTTTCTTGGCCTGCTTCCTTTAAATCAGCCTTGAACCAAGAATAACTAAAACACTGGACCACAAGTGTTCCAAAGAGCATAAAGCTTACTGTTAAAACACCAAAAACATACTGTCTTTCATGAAAAAATCTGATAGACACCCAGATGTCCACAATTAAATCAGTTACATAGATCATAATGCCAAGGACTGACATCATAAAATTCAACTTAGTATATTTCATTATGAATTACTATATCTCTTGGTTATTTACCTCCTCCTCTCATACAAAAAGAAAAAAACAAATATTAGTGCATTCTGTGGTGTAGCACTGAATTGTAATTTCCACTCCCTAAATATTTAAAAAAATAAACTAAATAAATAAACTAAAACCAAAGTGACTAATTTTAACTTTCTTTTCTAAATCTCTAGTCCAGTTGTTACTAGGCTTTATTCAATCTTGTTTCACAGTGATCTTCATTACAGATGACAAGACCTAAAATAAAACATAAAAAATTCCAAAAATCTTGATTCTAACATTAAAAATCTTAGGCCATGACTTTATCAAAGCACTACTTTTTCTAAAAATAATATATTACCACTAAATACATTTCTTACAATATACAGCTTTGGGAAAGTAAAGTGTTAGAAATATACTTAATAGTTGACAACTTCCTCTCAGACTATTTGCTTTTTAAAAAACATAACCTACTCACAAATATATTTACTAAAGGACTATATATAGTGGCAAAAAATTGGAAATAAAGGTGTCAACAAAAAGAATTAAATAATGGTAGATTCATAAAGTGGAATATTACAAAGCTACTAAAAATATATTTAACAAAGGTCCAGTAGTTGTGAAAATTCTTAATGTGCTTTGATACAGCAATTACATCTAAGAATCAAGCCTAGGGAAATATTTACAAACATGCACAAAGGTATATGCTCTTTGCAGAAACTTTTTTAAAAGAGCAAAAATTGAAAACAACCCAAATGACAATTGAGAAGTCTAATTCAATAAATTATGGTACATTCACACTAAAGAATATACCATGCAACCTTTAAAAAGAATGAAGTAGCTTCATATAAACTGATTTCAGAAAGTCTCCAAGATATATTAAATGAAAAAAGCAAGTACCAGAAGAATAAATATAACATGTTGCAGTATATGCTTTTTTATTATACATGGAGAGGGAAAAGGAGTTGAGTGGGAAGCAAACGCAATTTCAATCTTTTAAATATTTTTTTCATATTGAGTTTTTTACAACAGATATGCACTAATGTGTTTATAATTTCTTAAAAACAGTAGTAAATGATACTTATAAAGAATTTTGATGACTGGGGAAAATACTTATTCTATTAATAAGTTACTACATGCCAGGCACTGACCTATATGTTGCAAATAAAATGTCCTCATATAATTCTTACATCAAACTTAAAAGGTAGATATTACTATTATGAAGCCTATTTTATAAATATAATGCAACCTGCAGATGACATCTGTTCAACTCAACAGGGATTTCTTTAATTGTACTAATGAATTGCCAAGATTTCATATAAAAATCCAGAGTTTTCACTGATATCAAAGAACTCAAAGATCTGCTACAGTAGACTATCATTTCTTCATAAGCAGTGGGTACCCACCCTAGATGCCAAAGGCTCTCTCAGGTTCACCACAGCAGCCAGTCACCCCACTTCAGTCATTTCAACAGTGAGGTCTCAGTGCCCATGCAGCTATCTAATAGCTGTGTATCCTTAAATATGTTCTTTTTACCTCCCTATCCCTTATTTTCTTCATCTGAAATATGGAGATAATAATGGTATATATTTCAGAGGGTTGTTGTTAAGGTTAAGAAAGGTAATATATATAATACATACAAGCCTCTAGAAAACTACATGGTACAGTAAGGGCTTAAAAACTGTTAGTTACCATTATTACTTTGCCTGTCTGCCTGATACCTGTAAGCATCTAAGTCTGCAGTCTTTGACTTCACTTTAAAGAATGTTAAGTGGAAAAAATACTGCTATAATCTCAAAGCTTTGAAAATGTAAAGGAAATAGGACTGGAGAAATAGCAAAAAACGTTAACAGTAGTTTTATCTGGGGGAATTAATGGTATTATAGATGATTTTTTTTTCCTTCATCCTTTTCTATATTTATGAGTACGAACCTCAAAATTCATACATTGACATACTAACCCTCAAAGTGACTGCTCCTAGAGACAGGCCTTTATGGAGGTAATAAGGTTAAAAGAAGTCACAAGGACGGGTCCCTAACCCAATAGGAGTGGTGTCCTTATGAGAAAGGACACAGCAACAAAGAGCCATCTGCAACCCAAAGAAAGAGGCCTCAACAGAAACCAACCCTGCTGGCACCTCAGTGTTGGACTTCCAGTCTCCAGACTGTGGGAAAAATTATTTTCTATTGTTTAATCCACCAATCTGTTGGATTCTGTTAAGGCAGTCTGAGTAGACTAACACCCTATGTATTCTATAAAGAATATTTATTACTTTAAAAATTAGGAGGGGAATATGTTACTTTGAAAAAAATCTAATACTTAGCAGTGTTCCTGTCATTTCAGCACTTGTATTTTCTTTAAAAGTTTTCAGAATAATATTAAAAGATAGTTCACTCTTCTTACAGTTAAAAAAAAAAATGCTCATTATTGCTACTTTTCCTACCAAGAATGTTGTGGCCAACAGGATGGAAAAAAAATTTTTTTAAGTCTGAGTATTTCCAACCTAATAGGGCATGAGTTTTCCTGCAGTGAGTTTCTTATCTTAAAGACGTCATGTCAGTTTAAGCATGGAGTTTAGCAGGATGAGATGTCATCAAAAAGTTCTGTTTAATTATTTAATTAAACCTACAATGTGATATTTTAAGCTCTTGAGATATACCATGTGTAAAAGAAACAATCCCTGCCATTGTGGAACTTACATCCTAGCACAGAAAGATAATCAAATAACAATAAAAATAAGTAAAATTAGACATCATATTAGAAGGTGGTAAGTGATACAGAAAGAACAGAGCATGTTAAGGGAAATCAGGAGTTGGAGTAGAGGCAGGTGCATCACAGGTTGTAATTTTAATTAGAATGGTCAGAGCAGGCCTCACTGAGAAGATAGCATCTGAGTAAAGAAATTAGCCATATTGCTATCATATGAAAAAGCTTGCCAGGTGGAAGGAACAGCGAGTTCAGAAGTCTAATGTACTAGATTTTGAGTATGTGGAACAAAATTCCCCAAAATGTTGTCGGATTTCTTAACAAGATTATATTGGATGTGTTTAATGTGTATCCAAGTCCTGTTTAACAGCATCTAAAAAAACTGCAATTTCCTAAGCTTTCTATTGAGGAAAAAAATATTTCCACATATAGCAGAAGAATAGATAGACTGCTGAGTATTTACTATGTGTGAAACGTTTTACAAACTTTAATCCTCACAAATTCCTGTAAAATTATCATTGGCCCCATTTTATAGATCATAAACTGAGGCTTAGAGATGTTGGTATTTGCGTGAGTTATCTCTAATGAGTAAACTGATTTTAATGTACAGGCATGCCTTGGAGACACTATTGAGTTCAGTTCCAGACTGCCACGATATAGCAAAAATCACAATGAAGTGAGTCACACAGTTTTTGGTTTCCCTGTGCATGTAAAAGTTATGTTTAAGCTATACTGTAGTCTATTAAGTGTGCAATTATGTCTAAAAACTGTATATACTTAAATTTTAAAATTCTTCATTGCTAAAAAACTTCTAACCATGATCTCAGCCTTCAGCGAGACAAAATCCTTTTGCAGTTGTAAAAGATCACTCATCACCATAACAAACATAACAATAATAAAAAAAAAAAGTTTGAAGCACTGTGAGAATTACCAAAATCGAACATAGTAACACAAAGAGATCAAATGCTGTTGGGGAAATGGCACTGGTAGACTTGCTCCACGCAGGTTGCCAAAACGTTCAATTTGTAAAAACCACAATATCTGAGAAGTGCAATAAAGTGAAGTGCAATAAAATGAGGTAGACCTCCTTGTGCACAATTCTTAATCACTCTCCCCACAAATATAGCTTCCTTTACCTGGCATGGAAATGGAAGACTCTAGCCATTTTGAACCAAGATTTACAAGATGGGAAAAAATAATTTCTAAGAAACTTAGAAATTGCATTATTGGCAGAGCATCAAACTCAATAAACTAATCTGATCTGGCAACTTTTAAATTCCCAATTTAGTGAAGCAGAACATAACGCCAACTGGAAAGAAAACTACACAGCAAAGTACTTAATAAATATAGCAGCTCTCATAAAAAAGGGCCTGCACTTCCTTCAATAACCACTTGGTCGGATAACTTGTATGAAGGATGTTCATCTTTACCCCTACAACTGATCACTGTTCCAATACCACCTTATCAGAAATAATGCCAATCTACAAAATTTCGCTTCACTTAGAGAATTCGGAACACTGACTGACTTAATGGGCGTTTCAATCCAGTTTCTCATTCAGAGGTCAACCCACCTGTGTGACTATCTGGCTGCCAGCCAAAATATATAAACTTTGCCCACTGTACAGCTCTCTTCCTCTCTTTGCAATAAAGAAGATACCTGAAGAAGTACAAACTAGCAAATGTTCACTTGTCAATCAAATTTAATACACATAATATACAGACTTACTTGTCATATATAAAAAGCCTTCTTTAATTCAAAGTTCCTTCTGGAAAAACCTTCATCCTGGGAATTTTTTTTTTCTTCCTCATGGAAAATAAGCATTATTAAGGAGTGTGTAAACCTTTAAGATCCAAACCAAAATGAAACTGAAATCACCTGTTAGTCATAAGTGCGATATTCTAATCCAGTGATAAGAGTCTATATCATTGTGACCATAGTACATCCTTTTTTTTTTTTTTTAACTATCACCTTGGGGGAAGGAATTACATGGCTCCTTTTACAGACTGATGAGTTTACAAGCTTTTACTATATTATCAATTAATTTTTTAAAAATACAATTTGCCTCACAGCATATCTAAGTGGACAATTCATGTTTGAAAGGGAGAGATTCCTGAATTTGAAATACTCTAATAAAGAATTTACAATGTATTATTATTGGAGCCCTACCTACCTAATTTTTCAAACTTTATACCTTCTCAAACCCTATGCTCCAAGAACATATGATCGCTAGTTTCTACTACCAAAATAAACATTACAGTTCTTATTTCCAAGCCTTTGCTCAAGGTTATTTACTGTCCAGAAAGCCCTTCTTCCTCCAGCTACCTGATAAAAGTTATATCAATCCTTTAAGAATCAGCTTACATCCACTACTGTTAAGCTTTCTCAGATCATCCTAATTTCTCTCCTTCCTTCTTGCAATCTCATCACTTTCACTATACTTCTATAGGATTCACCTGAATATGCTCTAAAATATCATGTACATCTCCTTTTTAGTTACAAGTCTCTATAAAGCTATCCTATTCATTTTTACACACGTTCCCACACATCAACAACAATACATGTTAGAGGTAGTTGATCAATTATTGTAAATAAAACTGAACAGAATGTAAAAATCATTGGTCTTCTTTCTTGATGCTTTCTTGGGAACTTAAAACTTCAAGTTACATTGATATTCACAAAGACTCAGTTTTGAATCTGCAGCCTCTTTCTTCCTAGCTCAAGCCATACATCTAACTATTTGTGGATTTCTTTATGGGGATATCCCACAATGACCTCAACTTAAACGCCTCTAAACCAAGTTCATCACCTACACTGTTCTGCTCTTCTGCTAGTGTCAAACGTCTCCTTCTATGACTCGACTCAAGTCACTTAACTTTTAAATTATTTGTTGGGCCCATTTCTTCATCTACCAAATGAAGACCCTGGCAAGGAACTAAATGAAATTGAGATGGAAGGCACAAGGAAAATTCTAATTAACGGAGGAAAGAAAAAAAGGAATAAGAAAGTGGAGCCCACGAAAATAGTTCCACTCTCTTCTCAAAGGTTTGCTGACTTTCCAGTAGAGAGGTTTTAAAATGGGAAGCCAGCTTCTTGCTGGAAGAGCTGCTAATAACAGACAAATATTGTTGAGTTGAAAATACTTGATACAGGGAATTTTGATGATTACTCCAAGCAGTCTTTAAAGGACTTGTCCCATTGCAAAGGGGATAATTCACATGGTTGTTTCAATGAAGGTTTTTGAAACATTTTGCTATTAAAAGTACATCTTGAAGAAACAGGGGAAGAATTTGCCACACATAATCCAGGTGTGTTTTCAAGAAATCTGAAATATTAAACTCCCGATTTGTAATATAAATACTGCATACAAAGTAAGTCCTTTCTCCAGAAACACCTGCCAAAAAGGATGTTAAAAATGCATGCCCTACAACCTAGACGGGTGGGACGGGGTAGGAGGGGCATTCAAGAGGGAGGGGGCACGTATGTACCTATGGGGCATTCATGTTAATCCATGGCAGAAACCAACATAATATTATAAAGCAGGTATCTTCCAATTAAAAATAAATAATTATCTTTAAAAATGCCTAAATTTTAGAACCACTAGCCATCTAATGTGTCAATTTATCATTTATTTTGAAAAAGGTATGGGCTAGGATATCACATGTGTTCCACATCTTTGAGTGGTTACATACCCGTAAGGGAATGAAACTGATCATGGGATCTGTGCATTTCCTTTTAGGAAAACAGTAACTGGAATTTTTTTTTTTTTTTAGTATGGGGAGGGTTAGTTAACACTGGGGTAGTTAACTGCTCAGCAGATTAGAAAAGGACTCCTTACAAAGAAAAAGAAGTCCTTTATGTCTTGGACACAACCTCCCACCACAAGCAGAACCCCAACAAACGCGCTCGCGGCCCCCCTAGTCTTGGGGTGGGTGGGGTACCGCAATTGGCATAAAAGGAAGCGGGCCTCCTCGAACCCGCTACAGGGGTGGCGTCGGGTGTCGGTACAAGGTCGGGGCAAGTCTCCAAACCTCCGTTTTGCGCCTGTAAAATGGTCATAAAAATACTGCCTTCCTCTTCACACTGTGAAGATTAAATGAGATAGTAGTGTTTGTAAAACGCACTCGGCACAGCAGTAAGTGCTAAATAAACCTCCCTTACTGCTATTTATATATTTATATATAAAAGATAAACCAGTTCCTCCTCACACACTCACCCCAACCCTCGCCTGAAAACCCGACTAGCTACCCTTTCCGGGATTCCGTGCTCTGTAACTAACCCGAAACCTGCCCGCCCCTTGCTCCATCACAAGACTTCCCTGGTTAAAATGTGTCTTGCAGTCGAACAAACTCGCCTGCCTGAAATCAAACTCCTGCGAAACCACCACGCTCTGTGACACGCGGCAGCATTCAAGGCCCGAAGTCCAGTCTCGTCTCAGGCCGCCGCGCGCCTAGCGCCGGCGAACCTCGCGCTGCGGCTCACGAAACTCGGCCAGAGTCACATGCCGCTAGCCCCGGCTCACCGCTCCTCACCGATTCCCCCACCCGCTGGGCTCGCGCGTCAACGCGTGATCTCCGGCCCCGCCCACGGCACCGGGCTGATTTCCCCGGCCCTCCCACTTCGCTCGTGCTGCGCCACGTGACCTCTGTCCCCGCCCCCAGCACCGCTACGGATCCCCGCCCCACTCCCCTCGCGCGGCGTCAGGTGACCGCCGGCGCCGCCCCCGGCCTTGTTGCTGGTTCCGCGATTGGGCGGTCCTGCCTTCTCTGCGGAGGCGAGCGGCAGAGGAGGAGATGGCTGCCACCTTGCAGCGCATAGAACGGCTGTCCAGTCGGGTGATTCGCGTCCTGGGCTGTAACCCGGGTCCCATGACCCTGCAGGGCACCAACACCTACCTGGTGGGGACCGGCCCCAGGTAAACGTTTCTCCACGCTCGCCATCATACACACCGGCCGCGGGACGCACGGAGCTGGGGTTGCCGGGACTGCTCGCGGCGGGCGGAGAGGCTGTGCGCCCGCAGCCTGCACCGTGGGGTCCTGCCCCAGCCCACCCCGATTCGGACACCCCCGCCCCTAAATAACTTCCTCCCGGGGTAGTCAAGTGTCTTAACTTACAAATGGCTAAGGGAAAATGGACACGTTTCCTGTTTTCGAGACCCAATTTACTATGTTTGATTTTGAAAGCCAGAGTTGAAGCTGTTGAGACAGTAGGATCGCCTGCAGTTAAGAATACGGGATCGCGTTTACTTTCCTCACCTGACTTTAACTGGTATTTGGCCCTGAGTTTGACTTCCGTTTGCAAAAGCGAGTGGTTGTATTGAGGCCTTTTTCTTAACTCGATAGCAGAGAGCAGGATTTCCTTGCTTCAAATTGCTCGAGTCTGGGAAAACGCTAGCTAGCTTGGGGAAAGAAGAGCTAACTTTGTTTCTTGTTACTGTTGTGTGGCCTTATTTTAAATATTTTTAACTATTTTAAATTATTCTGCTAATGGAATAACCTGTCTGTATTTCCAAGATTTTTATCTTGTTCGGACGCATTCTGTTTTAGTGGTATCATGCAGAAACGGGGACATGTCATTTGCCTGCTATGCAGAAGACCTGGGTTCGATCCCTGGGTCGGGACGATCCCCTGGAGAAGGAAGTGGCAACCCACTCCAGTACTCTTGCCTGGAAAATCCCATGGATGGAGGAGCCTCGTAGGCTGCAGTCCATGCGGTCACAAAGAGTCGGACACGACTGAGTCACGACACACACACAAGTGCATTGAGCAATCTTTGTGTAGTCCTTACTCTAGATAATAAAAATTGAAAATAAGATATTGTTTACCTTGAGCCCAGAATTTAATTATTCAGTCTGGACGTGTTCATCAGTTAAATTTAGTCACTCAGCCCTTGGACTGCAGCATGCCAGGCTTCCCTGTCCATCACCAACTCCCGGAGCTTGCTCAAACTCATGTCCATCATGCCAGTGATCCCATCCAACCATCTCATCCTCTGTCGTCCCCTTCTCCTCCTGCCTTCAATGTTTCCCAACATCAGGGACTTTTCCAATGCATCGGTTCTTTGAATCAGGTAGCCAAAGTGTTGGAGTTTCAGCATCAGTCCTTCCAATGCGTATTCAGGGTTGATTTCCTTTAGGATTGACTGGTTTGATTGCCTTGCTGTCTAAGGGACTCTCAAGAGCCTTCTCCAACACCACAGTTGAAAAGCCATAAATTCTTTGGTGCTCGGCTTTCTTTATGGTCCAACTCTCACATCCTTACATGACTACAGGAAGAACCATAGCTTTGACTAGACGGACCTTTGTTGGCCAAGTAATGTTTCTGCTTTTTAATGTGCTGTCTCCTTTGGTCATAGCTTTTCTTCCATGGAGCAAGTGTCTTTTAATTTCATGGCTGCAGCCACCGTCTGCAGTAATGCTGGAGCCAAAAAAAATAAAGTCTCTCACTGTCTCCATTGTTTTCCCATCTATTTGCCATGAACTAGATGTGTTACAATTAGTAAAATATAGTTGATTACTAAACAGTTTAATAAGTATAGTTTATTAGGTTTTCATTTAAAGTATCCATTGTGTTTGCCTTTTTCTGGTAAATCACAATTTTAGAAGCAGCAGCTTGGAGAATATGGAAGTATTGACCATCTAGCAGAAAGTGAAAAGTTGAGTCTGAGATAAATGACGCAGAGTCAGAGCTTTAAGCTGCCTCCAGGGTCTTGGCGAACAGAAAATTAAGCAGAAAAAAACTACCTCATATCTAGCATACAGTCGGGGTTGGCTTAGGCTCACTCACCCCAGGAAGTCCATAGGTATACTCTTCGCTTTTCAGTGTATGATCTTAAATGAGTTCTAAAGTCAGTATGTAAGATGAAAATTGCCTGTAGTCAAAATTATCCTGGGAAATCTCTCAGGAAAACACAACATAGGAGATGAGTGTGCTGTCTCTCAATAAGCTCAACACAGCCTGTTTTTCCTCCAGCGATGAAACAGATGGCTGGCTCTGTTTGAAAATCAAATGAAGAAGTTGGCAGGGGTTGGGGACGATGTTGTATAAAAAATCTATACTGTATCTTTAAACACTAGAATCCCACTCAGCATGGCAAAGTGCTGGTGCTGAAAGATGTGAAGAACCTGAAGCTGATTGAGGGGAGAACAGATTGACCATCTTTGATGTCGCACTTCTTAGACTACTGTGAGTGGCCAGTGGAATCACTCACAGATGAGGGCGAAAGAGATGTTGAGGCCATGCAGCTGAGCCATGATAAGTTAATGTGCAGGTGTTGCTGCTCTGCTATATAAAGTAAATATTAGGTGGCTAGAAATGAATAGTAATTGGGTCCAGGTGATTCTGATAAGTGATATCCATCTATTCTACTAAGATCACTGGTGGCTCCTGTATCACTGAACCCAGTGGCATTTTACCATTCCCATCTTATTTGAACTTCAGTATCTTCTGACGCTGTGGCCCACTCCCTGATTGATTGACACGGCCTTCTGGCTTGCTCTCACCTCTCTAGCTACTCTGCTCTCTATCAGTCTCCTTTATAGAATCATCATCTTTACCAGCTATTTTAAGCTTTTGAGTTCCTCAGGAGACAGTCCTGTTCTTTCTTCTGTTCTCATTTTTGTATTCTCTACCCAGGGGATTTTGACTACTTCCTGGGCTTCACTTGTATTCATTAATAATTCCTGAATTTATAGCTCCACTGTAGACAAATCAAGGTTTCAGTTTCAAACAAGGGTGGCCAACTGCTTTTTTATATCTCTAATTGGATACCTCAAAGCCACTCGAAACTTCCTGTCTTCTTCCAGTAGTCTGAATCTTAGTAAACAGAACCATCCCCATATATAATCAAGGTAAGTACTTAAGTACCCTCCTTGACCACTTTTCTTTGCTTCCTGCACACACATATCCAAGCCATTATAAAGATCTCAACATTTCCACTGCTGTTAACCTGTCCAAGCCAGTACAACTCTTGCTTTGGCTTTTAAAATAGTCTCTCACTGGCCTCTCTGCATCTACTTTTGTCCCGGTTCAATCCATTGTTTCCCACGTAGCCAAAGTAGTAGTGTATGGTTTTAATTTTTGTGTTTTGGTCACTTACCCTGCAGCAGGCTAGTCTAACGTGTTCACTGGCTGATGGCAGGGTTCCAGTGGAATGAGAGGAAGTATGTGAAAACCTAGAGGCGAAGGCTTATAAATGGCAAGACATCACTTTCATGTCAGTCCATTGACCATAGGAAAACCCAGTGTACATCCGTACTCAAAGGATAAGGAAACAGGCCCTAGTCCTGGGTGGGAGGAACTTCAGAGTGACATTTCAAGAGACATTGCTATATGTAGGTGAAAAGTGAAACTTCATTTTTTCCTTGCAGTGTGCTTAATAAAATGAGGTCCTGTTTGTAAAGTGTTAACACAACTTAGTCTTGCTTAATTTGTGCTTTAATAAAACACTTCTGGTATTTTTTTAACTTTTTGGAGACATAGTATTTCTTACTGTTTTAAATGGGATTTGATTAAAAGAGAAAAAAGAAAACTTTCATTCGTTCATAGTAGAAAAGTGCCTAAGTGCCTGCAGTGTTTCAGGTAGTGTATTAAGGGAGTCCTATGAACTTGGCAAAAAAAAAAACCCGTAACAATAGCTTTGTTTTCCCTTGGCTTAGAGACTTGTAGACACCATAAATCATCAGATAGCTCCCAAAATGGATATATAATTTAATATTTGATGCGACCAATGAAGAGTAAGTCTGCTGCTGCTGCTGCTAAGTCACTTCAGTCATGTCCAACTCTGTGCGACCCCATAGACGGCAGCCCACCAGGCTCCCCAATCCCTGAGATTCTCCAGGGAGGAACACTGGAGTGGGTTGCCATTTCCTTCTCCAGTGCATGAAAGTGAAAAGTGAAAGTGAAGTCGTTCAATCATGTCCGACTTCTTGCGACCCCATGGACTGCAGCCTACCAGGCTCCTCCATCCATGGGATTTTTCAGGCAAGAGTACTGGAATGGGTTGCCATCGCCTTCTCCAAAGAGTAAGTCTAGGATAGTATAATTAAAGGTTTTAATCCAGTCATCACTGTCAAGAGAAGTTTCCAGTGTGGCAGTTCAGTCAACATGAGAAGTCACAGAAGAGATGTCATTAACATATAAACTCAGGTTATTTTTCCAGGGCAAGATGGGTTTTTGCCTTGCAAGACAAGCATAGCTCATTTTTGATGTTTAAAAAAAAGTAGAAAACAACAAAAAAGAAAAGCATAGCACATAGTAGATGGGTTCATAAACAGTTATTGAGGAATTAATGCACAAATGAATAACTGAAACTTTTCATCAAGACGAATCCTCTCTCCCCCAGCCTCAACTTGGGATGGATTCCTGTGAAACTGCATGAATTTAAGAAGTTGGTGAATTGGTTCTGGAGGAGGAGAATGTCGCTATTATTTCTTCAAAAGAACTTCAGAAAGAAAGACTGTTGCCCCCATGAAACAGTGGTGTTCCGTCACTCAGTCGTGTCTGACTGTTTGTGACCCTGTGGACTACAGCACGCCAGGCTTCCCTCTCCTTCACCATCTTCCCGGAGTTTGCTCAAACTCACGTCCCTTGAGTTGATGATGCCATCCAACCATATCACCTGTGGCCCCTTTCTGCCCTCAAACTTTCCCAGCTTCAGGGTCTTTTCCAGTGAGTCCGCTCTTTGCATCAGGTGCCGAAGTATTGGAGCTTCAGCATCAGTCCTTCCAGTGAATATTCAGGTTGATAAAACAGGGAGGAAGGGCAAACAGCAGGAGGAGGGTTCAGAGCCATGAGCAGAAAAAGTAGGTTGTCTGAGTGAAGGAGGGAAACAGCTCAAACATCCCCCCACCCCACCCCTTGCTCCCCTGCTGCCCTCACTTTCACATACGGAAACCCCAGTACTTCATTTTGTATATAGTGAAGACTAGATTTCCTTAAGGAAACCACTGAATCAGCTTCTTCCCTATTGCTCAGACATTTGAGGATGCTATAAAAAATCTCGAGAGCAGAGTAAATAAAAATGCATATTCTGGCACCAGAATACCTGGGCTTGAATGTTGGTTCTGCCATTTCTTTGCAAAGTAACCTTGGGCCAGTTACTTAATTTCTGGATATAATAATGAAAAGCTTACCTTCAGAGTTTGTTACAAGGCATACAGTTGTAAAAACATGTAAGATCCTTGAAACTATGCCTTATTTCTTTTTATTTCTTTTATATGCTGTGTAAGTGTTCAATATCATTGCTATTCCTTGTTGAGACTCATTTAGCTTTAAGTTTTTTCAAAGAATCTTCTTAAGGTGAGATGATTATAGTTAAGCTTATGTGCATCTGGTTTTCAAGCACTTTGGAAGCAAGGCAATTTATGCAGTTTCTTACACGTACTGTAAATTATCTGTGTGAGAAATATATTGATACTATGTGTTCTGATTGTGTGATTATCTTCCATTTAATTTTCAGGAGAATCCTTATCGACACTGGAGAACCATCAATCCCAGAATATATCAGCTGTTTAAAGCAGGCTCTGACGGAATTTAACACAGCCATCCAGGAAATCATAGTGACCCATTGGCACCATGATCATACTGGAGGCATAGGAGATATTTGTCAAAGCATCAATAATGGTAAACAGAAAATATTCATTAAGCTCATTGAAGAAAACTGTGTTTTCAGGATCATTTAATTCAGTTAACAGAGCTAAGTAAGCTAGTAAACCATTTCCTGAATAACCCATAATTAAATGGTACTTTCAGAAACTACTGTAACTTGAAAACTAGCCCCAGTTTTAACAAAGGAGGAAAGAAAAGTCCTATTCTCTACCTCTGATCTCTTTTTTCCTGGTATTTTTCCCCGTTGCCCAGTAACAAAGGTCAGTTTTAATTTAGTTTATGTGACACTTACTATTTCAGATTAAATACTAAGCAGCTACTGTTGAATGTTTACTGTGTGCCCGGCACTGTGCCGATCACATGGCCTGAGTACTGTGAGGTGGGTGTGTTCTTATCCATATGTCTTCCAGAGTATAAGGCAATCACCATGATAAACTGAACTACTGGGGAAGGGGTGTCATATTGGTAATTCTCTGTCCTTGAAACCTCTTAAGTACTGACACTTCACCATCTTTCTCATTCCCTCATCCCACCATCACACAGTTTCATCCATCCATCCATTCCTTTACTAAACACTGCTATATGCAGGTACTATTCTTGACACAAGGAACCTAGCAGTGAACGAAACATGGAGCTTTATTCTCACAAGGAAGGTAAAAATGGTAAATGAATCATAGATCAGATGGTGACAGGTACTACAAAGAAAAGTAAAGCGACGACATGAAAGCAAGGGGAGAAAGGGTAAAGCAGCAGAGGGCGGTGGCAGAGATATCCAGGGTGGAGGGAGAGGCAGTGAGCTGTACAGTATCTGAGAGCAGGGCTTACCTGGCTGAGGGCATTGGACTGTGCTTGGCCTGTCCAAGGCACTGGAAAGACAAGGAAGTTGAGAAAGTTCATTCACACAAGGGATGCATGTAGCATTCAACTAGTATTATTTGTATTACTATCTTTTTAGGCCTTGAGACTAATTGGGACACCAAGATATTCTCAGGCCCAGCACCAATATCACCAGGCTGCTGGTTGTGAAAACCTGTCTAACCTGACCATATTACCTTCTCACTTCCTTTCTTCCAATCCAAGGGGACTGTCCACTGCAGGAAATTATTCTTTCTCAGTCTGACCTGTCTTCGCCTTTCTTTCTCTTGTCCATCCTTAAATTTTGCAAAATAAAAAACTATACTGAAGACCCTTAATTACCTCTGGTCAGTTCTTTTAACATGACGGTCACGGTGGTAAATTAAAACACTTATGGCCCCCTTTTCCTCCTTCATGATCAGCTTTATTGAGCTTGAATTCACGTACATAAAATGTACCCATTTGAAGTTGCAAACACTGATGTGACCACTCCAATCAAGATAATTCTCCCACCACCCCAAAAAGAGATCTGCCAATGGCCCTTTGCGTGACATCCACTCCACCCTCAGCAGCCACACATCTGCTTCATTTCGCCATAGGTTAGTTTTGTCTGTGTTCTGAAGTTTCCTATAATGGAAGAATACAGAACCACTCTTTGGCTTCTCTCACACCACATCTTATTTCTGAGATTCACCTGTGTTTCATGCGTCAGTAGTTTGTCCCTTTCTTATTGCAAAATAGTAACTCATGATAGGAATATACCACCATCTGTGTGTATCCATTCACCTATTAATGGCCATCTGACCCACTTTCTTCAAATTAAACATCAAAATAGGTTTGAGTTCCCTACAGAATAATATTTATTTAATAAATTAACTATTATGTTGATTTGAAAGGAGAAATTTGACACAGCTTTATAGCCACAAACCTTTAGTGCTTATTTGAGACGTGGCTTGTGTTTCTTTCTGAACTCTGTGGAAACTAGACCAGCTACATGCAGACCTTGAGTTGCTCAGAACTAAAATTGTTCAGAGGTAACTTTCAGGGTCCGCTCCCCAAAGTTCCATATATTTCTTTATTCTCTCAATCATTAATCACTATCATTTTTGTTCCATTTCACTTTTTTTGTTCCATATTTTAATTATTAGTTTAAATTTTTTTATAGTTTTGTTTAGCTGTTAGCATGGCAGAAAATTTTCAACTCTTACAGTGCCAGCAACCTATGTTTCTAACAGGACACACCAAAATTATGAATGCCGTTTATAAGATTTTTGTGGGAAGAGAAGTTAATTGCTCAGTCATGTCCGACTCTTTATGACCCATGGACTGCAGCCCACCAGGCTTCTCTGTCCATGGGGATTCTCCCGGCAAGAATATTGGAGTGGGTTGCCATGCCCTACCCCAGGAGATCTTCCCACCCCAGGGATCGAACCAGGGTCTCTCTCATTCTTGGCAGATTCTTTACCATCTGAGCCACCAGGGAAGACTGCCTCTTAAGCAGTCTTTTAAAATTTAAAATATAATCAGTATGTGATTTGGGAACTCCTAGTGGCTTACAGGGAGAAGGCAATGGCACCCCACTTCAGTACTCTTGCCTGGAAAATCCCATGGACGGAGGAGCCTGGTAGGCTGCAGTCCATGGGGTTGCTAAGAGTTGGACGTGACTGAGCGACTTCACTTTCATTTTTCACTTTCATGCATTGGAGAAGGAAATGGCAACCCACTCCAGTGTTCTTGCCTGGAGAATCCCAGGGATGGGGGAGCCTGGTGGGCTGCCGTCTGTGGGGTCGCACAGAGTCGGACACGACTGAAGTGACTTAGCAGCAGCAGCAGTGGCTTACAGAGAACCAGAATTTTACCAGACATGAGAACTAGATGGCCTCGGGCCGTCTTGAGTGTTTTGGTTTGGTTTGGTTTGGGGTATATCTTATAAAATATATTTTGTTATCTGATAATTATTATTTTGCAGCTGAAGTTGGGCCTTTGCCATGTGTTTAACATCCAAGTCCTAGGAGTCAAACAGTTGCTTCCTGCTTTTCAATTAGAATGTGTTTTTATTAGAAAGTATTATATATGAACAATATCACATTTGTATCATCTTAAATAATTAGCATCAACAATGTTGTTACAATCCATAAACCTTAACAAATGACTGAGGGTTTCCTCCTGTTTAAATAATTATATGATGGAGACAGAAAGTAGATAAGTTGTTGCCAAGAGCAGGGAGAAGGAAAGAATAAGCAGTGAATACCATTGAGTATGAGGATTTGAAAATGTTCTAAAATTTTGTAGTGCTTATGGTGTATAGTTCTTTGAATATACTTAAAAAAAAAAAACCTAACAACAATAGTGAGTTGCACATTTCAGAAGGGTCGAGTTTATAGTATGTGAATTCCATCTCAATAATAATATGATTGCTTTCAGCATGCCCTTCTTCATCTTGCCTGTATAGATTGCTGTTGTGAATAGGATACGTGTTTTAAAATTTGCACATAATTTTATGATACAGACTTATTTTGTCATATGACGTTTGTTTTGTAATTTTGAGATAGTTGTGAGTTTTTTGGAAAGGTCGTCTGCCAAAGATCTCATAACTAGAGATATAATATCTCCACTGCTTCACTGAAAGTCAAAATTGTGTAGATTACAAAATAAAAACAAGAAGCCCTCATTATCTCACTCAAAAATGAAGACAGCCTTATTGTATAATGTCAGTTCCCAGCATAACATAGTATTTTTTGCCTCTTCCTCTTAAGATACAAAGTAATGGAGTTTGGAGCTGAGAAGAGGGAAGGTCTAGTTGCTGTTGTTTTATTTTCTTTTTATTATATTCACGATATTTCTGTCTCCTCCCTACCAGCCAGATTTCTATCCTTTGTCAGTTTTCCTCGGAATGTTTTTTTCTCCTTCCATATTTCCACCACCCTAACCCTGATGCTCACTATCTTTCAGCTGGTTTATTGCAGTCACCCCACCCCTAGTCTTTCTTATCTTTCCCCCTGCAGTCTCCCCACCTACAGCCATCATACTCATCTACCTGTTAACACTATTTCATTTTCTTACTAACAAGTGTACAGTAGCCACATACAGTGAAGTTTGAATCCTTCTGTTCTGTGAAGGGCACTTTAGGGCCCGCCATGATCTGAGCTCATCTTACTTACCCCACTTTCCCTCCACATTTCCCAGCCAGTGTTTTGCTTTAGACAAGTAGGCAGCGTCACGTTTGGCACATGCATAGAGCTCATCCTTGTTTCTATGCCTTTACTAACACCATTCCCCACAAGTCTTTCTCTGAACCTTTTCCCATCCTACTCATCCTGTAAGTCACACATCAAGTTCTATCGTGTCTGTTAACCCCTTCCTAACTGTTGCTTCTTTCTCTAAACACTTGCTGCTTTTGTTAGCTGCATTGTCCATTTAGTATATCCATGAAATAGGCCTGAGTATAGTCCTCTAATTATTGCCTGTTTGTGTTTTTATTTCCCCAACTATGACAGTTTTTAAGCACTTTGGGATCATGGTGCTTGTATTCACTATACATGATATACTGGTTATATGATTGCCCACTCAGCTGTTGATTGGTTAAGTAATTGATTGTCTTTGTGTCAGGGAGGGTACTATGGTTTACATTGATTTTAATGTTTTCATATCTCAGCCCTGGGTTTGGGGCTTCCTTTCAGCATTCACAGAAGGAACCTAATGCTCTCATCCTTTTATTATTAAGTTCTGCCATGATGCCATATTTCTTTTACTTATGTTAGGCCCTTAGATTGGAGAAGGAAACGGCAACCCACTCCAGTGTTCTTGCCTAGAGAATCCTGTGGACAGAGGAGCCTGGTGGGCTGCCGTCTATGAGGTCGCACAGAGTCAGACACAACTGAAGCGACTTAGCAGCAGCAGCAGCAGCAGGCACTTAGATAGAAAAAAGTTCCTGGGTTCTGTACTGCTGCTCCTTAAACACCCACTTTTTTTTTTTTATATCAGAGTTTAGTTGATTTAGTGTTGTGCTAGTTTCAGGTGTACAACAGAGTAATTCAGTTATGCAGGCATTCGTGTCCCACACTTTGTAACCCAATGGACTGTAGCCTCCCGCTCCAGGCTCCTCTGTCCACGGGATTCTTCAGGCAAGAATACTGGAGTGGGTTGCCATTTCCTTCTCCAGGGGATCTTATAGATAGATAGATAGGGGATCTTATAGACTGACAGACAGACATAAATATATATATACACATATGTATTCTTTTTCAGATTCTTTTCCCATATAGGTTATTACAGAGCTTTGAGTAGAGAGTAGAGTTCCTTGTGCTATACAGTATTCAATACCCATCTTGATCTCAAAGCTGAGACTGTGAAGTGCTATTTCCAAATTTTGTATAAAAATAAGAGTGACTAGAAAAACACAGAGGCTTTTATGTAGACCTGGAAGGGCATGATAGAATAACAATCTCTTTATTAAGGTGGGAAAAAATAGTTACCATCTCAGAGGTATGCTGCTGTAATTCATCCCAATTTCTGTTGCCTGTTATGTTAATATACTTTGCAGGCACTCTCAAGTGTTTGTGGCTCTGCTCTTGTAAAAGGCTGAATTAGCACTTAAAATGTGACTTCATATATTTTACATGTTTTGTGACTAGACACTACCTATTGCATTAAAAAACTCCCACGGAATCCTGAGAGAAAAGAAATTATAGGCAATGGAGAGCAACAGTATGTTTATGTGAAAGATGGAGATATAATTAAGACTGAAGGTGCCACACTAAGGTAAGCCAATGTCCTTGAGCTGGGGAAAGCAGGATGGGGATCTACATCTATGTGTTGTAATAGCAATAGAAGGGAGGTTTCGTCACATTGCTTGTCTGAGTGCAGGTATCTCAGGAAGAATACAGAAGATGTGCTCTGGGAACAGAAAACAGGTTGCTTGAGAAGCAGAGGAAAAGACTTTTCATTCTATATACCTTTCTAAAATTGTTTATTTGAATTAATTGAGGACCTTTTTTAATAAATAAAATTTAAATTTTTTAAAATGGAGTAGCTTCCTGCTAGAGTGATTTAGGGATCTTCCCATTAGGTAAATTCAGGGCTCTTTCATGCTCTCACTTCCAAAGGCTGACCCATCCCTAAAGTAAACACATTTCAGGCCAGACTCATCTCTCCTGAGACCTGTCTGAGGGATTCAAAAGGGTATTTCAGACTCAGCTTTAAAGCCAAACTAATTCTGGTTTTCTCTCTCCCACAAACTGTACTTGCTTTCCGACTTCAGAAGAGTTACTTTTCATAGTACTTCATAGATTTTTTTTTCTCCTAAGATAGAAGCTGACTCCTCTTCACTCTTATCGTTCCCCCTTCTCCCCTCCCCACCCTCGCCTGCTACATTTAATCAGGTTAGTTTTTAACCTCAGAAATATTTGGTAGTGCAGCCTCTTTTTCTCCATGTGCACAACCACTACGTCTTACTCAATCTTCCTGTCTGCAAACTCCCTGCTTTCTAATCTACCCTTCGTACCCCGTGTCACCTGGAACATGGAATAGCGCTCCCTGCGCACAAGACAATGTTTGTTCCCCTGTGTGTCACAGTCTGGCCCCACAGGTTCCTGGTCTTTGCTCTCATCACTGCCCTCATAGGCAGAGTTATAAGGACATTCTGTGCATCCGTGCCTTGGCTCGTGCCATCCCTTGTACCAGGCATCGCCCCTTCCCTTCACTTGTCTCCCTGACAGATTCTTATCTGTTCATTCTTCAAACCTAATCCACCCATTACTTAGTTTAGGAACCCTTTCTGGGCAAAATTCATTGCTCCTTCCACTAACTTTCATATAACCTTTATTGTTTTGTCATAGCACATATTAAATTTTAAGTTTTTTTGTACGGAAGTACCTCAGGTAATCAACTCCTTAACTTCACTAATTAATATTAGTTAATTCTAGTTGCTGTGGTCAACCAACCCAGAAATGAGTAATGGCTAAAACATAGAAGTTTACTTCTCAGTCACAAAAAGTTCAAAAGGGGATAGTGATTAGTGAGGGGCCCTCCTGCAAGTGAGGTTTCAAGCTCCTTCCATCTTGTGATTCCATTACCCTCAGTCCTTGCTTTCAAGGTCACCATGCTCACCTCCCTCAACCCAGCAGGTGGAGGAGGAATTGCAGGCACTTTGACAGAAAAGGCAATTTGCAGACTCTGAAAAGAATGGTTTTCCAAATGAATCTTTCTCAATTAAAAAAAAAAAAAAACACTGGGTCTGTTCATAAATTCATTTTATTGTTATTGTTCATAGGATTGTCCATAAGATATACACACCGACACTATTTTTTCCATGGTGGTTTGATTTACATGTATTATGGTTCAGCTAACATCCATCATCTCACATAGATAAATGAAAAAAGAATAAAAAGAAAATCCATCATCTCACATAGATAAATGAAAAAAGAATAAAAAGAAAAAGAACAGTTTTCTCCTTGTGATGAGAACTTGGGATTTATTCTCCTAACAGCTTTTTTACAGATCATACAGCAGTGGTTAGTCATGTTGTTGTACATTGTATGCCTTGTACTTATCTTATAATTGGAAATTTGTACCTTTAACTACCTTTCCTCCATTTCTCCCTCCCCTTACCCTCCACCTCTGGTAACTGCATGCCTGATCTCTTTTCCTATGAGTTTGGTGGGTTTTTGTTTTTTGTTTTGTTTTTTAAGATTCCACTTATAAGTGAGATTATTTAGTATTTGTCTTTCTCTGACTTATTTTACTTAGCATAATGCCTTCAAGGTCCATCTATGTTGTCCCAAATGGTAGGATTTCCTCATTTATTATGGCTGAATAATACTGCATTGTGTGTGTATGCGTTTGTGTATCTCACTTTTTTATCCATTCTTACATCAGTGGCCACTTAGATTGTTTCCATGTTTTGGCTATTGTAAATAACACTGCTGTGAACATTGGGCTACAGATATTTTTTGAAGTTAGTGTTTTGATTTCCTGAGGATCTATTCCTGGGAATGGAATTGCTGGTGATATGTAGTTCTATTTTTAATTTTTTGAGAGTTCTCCATATTGTTTTCTGTAGTGGCTGTATCAATTTACATTCCTGCAATAATGCACAAGCATTTCCTTTTCTCCACACACACAGCAGCACTTCGTATCTCTTGTGTGTTGATGATGGCCATTCTGACAGGCATGAGGTAACATCTTATTTTGGTTTTAATCTGGATTTCCCCAATGACTAATAATGTTGAACGTTTTTTCATGTCCCTGTTGGTCTTTCATCTATCTTCTTTGGAAAAATGTCTATTCAAGTTTTGGGTCATTTTTTTTTTTTTTTTGAAAAGCACTTAACATTTAATGAATTTCCCAGCATGTGGCTTCAAGCCACCCAGGACACAAGCCCCACCTACACCCTTAATCTTTTCCTCAACTCTTCTGCTGAAGAATTTGGCCTTCACGATGACAGGCTGCTTTGGGAGCTTTCCTTTCCCCAGAAATTTGTAGTAACCTGGTCGCACCACATCAATGATAGGAGCAGCTCCTGTCTTGTTCTTGGCAGCATTTACTTGTGTCTGCTCACTAACCAAGGTCCACAATTTATCAAGGTTGACAGTCGGGCAGAAACTCTGGTTCCTCTTTAAGTGGTAATGCCTCATACCAACTTTCCCGAAGTATCCTGGGTGATATTTGTTGAAGTTGATCCTGTGATGATGCATGCCGCCAGCATTACCTCGGCCTCCCGGGTGCTTCCGGTGTTTGCCGATGCGGCCGTGGCCGTGGCTCACGTGGCCTCTAAGTTTCCAGGTCTTCCTTAGTCTGGATGGCATGTCGGCAGCCTAGACAAAAGAGCTGGGTCATTTTTTTAATTGGATTTTTTTGCTGTTGAGTTGTATGGGTTCCTTATATATTTCGGATATTAACTCCTTATCAGATATATGGTTTGCAAATGTTTTCCCATTCTGTAGACTGTCTTCACATATTTTTATAGTTGCTAGAAATATACCTACTAGAGTCATTTTCATATAACATGAATACTTTCACTAACAGGTTGCAGCAGGTTTAATCAGACCAGATATGATTTCTAACATCTCTTTAATAACTTGACATTGGTGCGACTATAAAATTGTAATTGTTTACAATATATAAAGCATACACTTAGAAACCATAAAAGCATAATAGTTCTTAATATCAGTTCTTAATGCCTCTCAAAAGTAATTGCTCCCATTACACTAGTAGCTTATGTTCTTGTACCTTATATCTATTACACTTTTAGCAGAATTTTTTATAAGGATTTGTTTTTTGGTTTTTTTCGTAAGGGAGAAATCATTCTAAGTTATACTCATTTATGTTTTCTTGCTGTTCAGTGGCTAAGGCATGTCTGACTCTTTGCAGCCTCATGGACTGTAGCACGCCAGGCTTCCTTGTCTTCCACTATCTCCTACAGTTTGCTCAACTTATGTGCATTGAGTCAGTGATGCCACCCAACCATCTCACCCTCTGTCTCCCCCTGCTTCTACCTTCAATCTTTCTCAGTCTCAAGGTCTTTTCCAATGAGTTGACACTTCACGTCAAGTTGCCAAAATATTGGAGCTTTCAGCTTCAGCATCAGTCCTTCTAATGAATATTCAGGATTGATTTCCTTTAGGATTGACTGATTTGATCTCCTTACTGTCTAAGGGACTCTCAAGAGTCTTCCCCAGCACCACAATTCAAAAGTATCAATTCTTCACAGCACTCAGCCTTCTTTATGGTTCAATTCTCGTATCCATACAGGACTACTGGAAAAACTATAGCTTTGACTGTACGGACCTTGGTTGGCAAAGTGCTGTCTCTTCTTTTTAGTACACTGTCTGGATTTGTCATAGCTTTTCTTCCAAGGAGCAAGCGTCTTTCAATTTCATAGCTGTGGTCACCATCCACAGTGATTTTGGAGCCCAAGGAAATAAAATCTGCCACTGTTTCCACTTTTCCCCATCATTAGCCATGAAGTGATGGGACTGGATGCCATGATCTTAGTTTTTTGAATGCTGAGTTTTAAGCCAGCTTTTTCACTCTCCTCTTTCACTCTCATCAAGAGGCTCTTTGTTCCTCCTCATTTTCAGCCATTAGAGTGGTATCAAACTCTTTGCAACCCCATGGACTGCAACATGTCAGACTTCCATGTCCATCACCAGCTCCCGGAGCTTACTCAAACTCATGTCCATCGAGTCAGTGATGCCATTCAACCATCTCATCCTCTGTCGTCCCCTTCTCCTCCGGCCCTCAATCTTTCCCAGCATCAGGGTCTTTTCCAGTGAGTCGGTTCTTCACATCAGGTGGCCAGAGTATTGGAGTTTCAGCTTTAGCATCAGCTGAATGAATATTCAGGACTGATTTCCTTTGGGATGGACTGGTTGGATCTCTTTGCAGTCCAAAGGACTCTCAAGAGTCTTCTCCAACACCACAGTTCAAAAGCATCAATTCTTCCACGCTCAGCTTTCTTTACAGTCCAACTCTCACATCCATACATATCTACTGAAAAAACCATGGCTTTGACTAGATGGACCTTTTTGGTAAAGTAATGTCTCTGCTTTTTAATATGCTGTCTAGGTTGGTCATAGCTTTTCTTCCAAGGAGCAGTTTTCTTTTAATTTCATGGCTGCAATCACCATCTACATTTCAGAGTGATTTCAGAGCCCAAAAAAGTCTCACTGTTTCCACTGTCTCCCCATCTATTTCCCATGAAGTGATGGGACCAGGTGCCATGATCTTAGTTTTCTGAATGTTGAGTTTTAAGCCAACTT